TGATGTAGTTATCATAATCTCGTGTGTGACAGAAACCTTTCTGACTTGAGTGCTCTTGTCTTATGACCCATCTACACCGATCACACGTGGCCAAATCACTCATCCTGCCTTACCCTTCCACTTATGCCCCTTTTCTGAGGCTTTCCCAGTCAAGCATGTGTGAAATCAGAAAGTAGCTCTCCCAGGGAAAAGTAGGAGATGCCTGCCCTGGGTCTGATGGTCACACTTTATGCTTGTGTGGAAAATCCATCCAAAGTCATACCTTTGCATGTGAATGAACGGAGCAGAATAATAACACAATGTCAACAGAAAATACTGTTGCTGGTATGGGGTTTACTCCAAACCAAGTGTCTTCCCGCCCTTGGAGGTGTAGAAGCAAATTACCCTCACTGGAGAGACACTGCTTGCTTTGTTTGTCATCAGATGCCCCTTGTTCCCTTTTCAGTGCACTTCTTTTTTTTTTTTTTTTTTTAATGTTTATTTATTTTTGAGAGAGGAGGGAGAGTGAGCGAGCAAGCACAAGCAGGGGGGAGAACCAGAGAGAGAGGGGGGACAGAGGATCTGAAGTGGGCTCTGTGTTGACAGCAGCAAGCCTGATAGGGGGCTCAAACTCACAAACCGTGAGATCATGACCAGATCCCAAGTTGGATGCTCAACCAACTGAGTCCCCCAGGCGTCCCTCCTCCCCGTCACTACAGTGCACTTCTATATTTTACCATTATTGTCATCATACAGGAAGGGTTATTACTTTGGGCACTTCTGTACCATCAGCGATTTGAGTAGATTGGAGAAAACTGGAAAATTATGATTTAAATGCTTTTGGAACTAGTTTTAAAGAATGGCTCTGGAATTATTATGAAAATCTGCATGGCTATTTTCAAAGCTTCTTATTTGCCAATGACTCTCATTTTCTCAGACACAAATATAGATTTGAAACCCAGGTCAAACCGCTGGTCTCTATTTCTGACTTGAGCTGGTGTCAGGGTAAAAAATGATGAAGAAGGGTCTTTTGGGGAAGAAGTTACTTTCCTGTGCCAGGTAATTGAATACTTCCAGCTTTTAGGACAACATGTAATTTTTAGTCCCTTATGATATATTACTATACTATTATTAACAGAATGGTCTCGTCAAATTGTTTTTCAAAACAAGATGGGCCATCATCATATACAAATAAATGAAATAGTATGTGTAGCAGCGTTGTAAACAGAATAAGGGCTATCAGCCACACAGAAGACACAAATCCTAATACATAGAAGCCTATTCAGACATGGATATTACTTAGCAAAGCTGTCTTTAATGAAGTTCTTAATGCCCTTGCCGGAATAATTTACCACTCAGTGAAATTTTTTTTCCTGAGCATAAATACTCAATTGGAGGCACCCTTCTGCAAGAGGTATGTGTAAATATGTAAACTGGCTGAGACATTAGGGCTTAACTGTACTGTCTCTGAGGATAGGCCGGTGGAACTGCACATTCTGTTTAACAAATATTTATTGAGTTCTGTTCCGGTTATCTACGCTGTGTAACAAACTACCCTAAAACTTACTGGCTTACAACAACAAATTGTTACTGAGGCTCAAAATTGATTGGCTCATCTGGGTGGTTCTCACTTGGGGTCCCTCATGCTGTTGTCCTCAGATGGCAGCAGAGGCTGGTGTCATCTACAGGCTTCTTTATTCATGTTTCTAGTGTCTGGTCTGGCACCGGATTTAGCCTTAAAAGTCACTGTGTTAAGTCTTTAAAAAAATATATATATATATTTTTAAGGTTCATTTATTTATTTTGAGAAAGATAGAGACAATGCATGCGGGGGAGGGACAAAGATAGAGGAAGAGAGAGAGAAGCCCAAACAGGCTCTGCAGCATCAGCATGGAGCCTGATGTGGGGCTCGAACTCACGAAACCATGAGATCATGACCTGAGCCAAAACCAAGAGTTGGACACTTAACCAACTGATCCAGGTGCCCCTAAATACTGTTGCTTGAAGGAATCACACACCAGCCCCCATTCAATGAGAGAGAGGAATGGACTCTACCTCTTCATGGGAGAGCTGTATATGCAGCTGCATCTACAGGGAAGAAAGACTCTAATGGCAGCTATCTTTGAGAAGAGCTACCATCCATCTCAACCACACGTGGGATTGACACTCAAGACACAGTACTGAGTGGACTGTGGTATTTCTGCTGAGGACATGTGGGGGTGATCCCAGGCACAGAAGATGGTTGGCTGATAGAAATGAAGCTCATTGTAGAGACAAATGGGACAGTGGAGGTGTTCTGATCTCCCCCAGCACCTCTCTAAAACAATGACCTAAAGAAGGTCATTTGGACCAAGAGGGTCAATTTCTTGAACATATTGAGGACCTACAAAATATACATTTCATGTCAGCTCCACGATAGGAGGGAGACTGGTAGGTAAAACAGTTGCTCTGTAAATGTTAGCTTCCTGATGAAAAGTCTTGTTCCTGGGTAACCTCGTGGCCCTGACAAAAAACTAATGGCAAGTCATTTTGTGCCATACTTTCTTTGGTTCTTTCTGTAGATGATCACACTGAGGAAAAGCATAAGGAGCCTTTGAGCTAAAGGTGCAGACTTTGCTATTTTAATCATTAACAATCATGCCATCTTTGTTAGAGAGACCATGAGACATGAAGAGATCTGATTGTATTTTACCCTACAGAGTTTGTTTCTTTTTTTTTTTTTTTTAATGTTTATTAACATTATTTTGAGAGAGAGAGAGAAAGCACAAGGGAGGGGCAAAGAAAAAGGAAGACAGAGGATTCAAAGTGGGCTCTGTGCTGATAGCAGGGAGCCCAGTGTGGGGCTTGAACTCACAGACCATGGGATCGTGATGTGAGCCAAAATCAGACACTTAACGCTCAGGTGCCCCTACAGTTTGTTTCTTAATTTTCAGATACAGCTTGTATGACCTCTCAGAGAGACTGTTCTGACCTCCCTGTTGAGGGAAGTGAAGTCTCTGTCCACTTCTGCTTCTCAATCACTCTGTCCCATCACCACATTTATTCCTTTCCTTGCACATATCACCACCTGCATTTATCTTGATTGGCTAATCCTTACTGTCTTTCTCCCTCCACCGGAATAGAGCTGACTTATTTACATCCTGGCACACAGTAGCTGCTCAATAAATGTTTTTTAAAGTAAAAGAACAGATCTTTAGAGTCTGGAAAAAGCGCCCTAGTGACCATGGAAACGGTTTAATTAGGCTGGTATTCATTCTCCTTTTGGTGTAGAGAAAATTGAAATGTAAAATTCCCTAGAAGTCCAGATGTGCCCCAAATCTTCCACTAAATTTACGTAGCCACTACTCTGAAATCAGGCCTGGAAGTGGTTTTCACAATCTCCTTTTATGGCTGACACATTTCAGGAGAGGACAGATTTAGGATTGGGTTGGGCAGTACTCTCTCCTTTTATGCCTCAAATATATTGGGTTAGAACTGATCTATCTATCCAGAATTCATATTTTCTAGTTCTTGGCAGATATACCAGAGTAGCCCTGAGGATTCAAGGTCAAGGCACCAAGAGGTGGGCCCTCCAAAGACATGTGTCATTCAAAGGCTCTTTGGGCTTGGGTAGATGACCAGGTTGTACAGTGTGATGATTAAGAGCACTGGAGCCTGGAGCTGGGCGGTAACTGTCACCACTGCTTACCAGCTATGGAGCTTTGTAAGTGTCCTTTTAATTTTTCTGCCTCGGTTCTCTGCTTGGGAAAATGGAGATTTTACCCACATTCACCTACATGGTTGGCATAGGTTAATGGACAGAAAGCAGTTAGAATAGCACCTGGCACTTGGTAAGAGCCCTCTACGTGTTCGCCAACATCACTGTTCATGGATGCCATCAACAGCGTGCGTTAGAACCTGCTCATGACAACAGTGAAAGTAATTGATGGCAGGTGGCTTATGGGTAAGATTTTTCTTTCCAAAAACTTTCTTTAAAGTTATTGTTGCACTGTTTTCATGAAAAAAAAAAACCTATCTCCTTATAATGGTGACGTTGAGGTATCAGGACATTATTGTTCAGATGGGAAGGAATGCTACTGTGACCTGGAGATACAAACAGACCCACAGAATATCTGCTGCAGGGGCTCAGTGAGGTGCTCATGAAGGGTTCATATCATAAACTAAGGGCAAGGTCAGTCTCTGAGATGGTCAAACACCAGCTGGTGGAGGGGGGTAGCCCATCTGGTGAGGTGGGTGGACAGCGTGGACTTCTGGGCCTGGCTGCCACTTTCTAGTAGTATGATCTTGGGTGAACCAAATAAGGCCTTTGGCTTGGTTTGCACATCTCTAAAATGGAGATAGTAATTCTAGACCAACCCAAAGCATTTTGAGGTCCGAAGGAGAAATGAATGAGAAGGACTTTCACAATGATTAGTTTTTATAAAAATATCACACACTGATCTTCCAAGGGCCTGGAAATGCCCATTTTCTCTACATATCCCCACCCTCAAACCCCCTTCCTAACCCTCATTCCCTTCTCTTCCTGGACTCGAGTTCCTTTATTTTAAAAGCTAAACATCTTGAGTTCTATTGCCATACAAATACATTTGAGATACAGGACACTTCATTCTAGGGGTTATTCTAATGGGGATATTTTGGGGCGAGTTTAGGGGATTAACTTTATTAAGTGGGCATCTGAGAGAAGAAATGGGTATAAAAAGGGGGAAGCTGGCAGGTAAAGAATTTTACTGATGAGTTGGTTCAAGGCTGGCCTTATTAACAGCAAAAGCAAAAAGATAATGTGCGCAAAGAGGCTACTTTGGAACTTAGCGACTCACAAGCCATAGATCATACGAGCGACCTTTGTTCAGACAGACCTGGGTTCAAATTCTGACTCTGCAAGTCACTTGACTTCTTGGAACTGCAGTTTCCCTGTCAGTAAAATGGGAGCAGTAACACCAGCATCCCTGGGTAATGAGGTCGGAGTTGAGTAGAAAACACTGAGCACGCAGCTGGTATTTAGCTGTGCAGGGGAGCCTTACCAGGAATTTCCGTTTCTGCTTCCAGTGGCTGCCTTGGGCATTGGTGGCCACGTGGGCTTCAGTGACAGTTTTGATGAGCTCCCACTCCTCGTCTGTGGGCTCTGGCTTGTGCCCGATGGATTTCTGCAGCTCTTCCCGCCGTCTCTTCTCCCGGTTCTCCTCAATCAGCTTCCTCTTCGCCAGCCTCTTGCTGTCATCCAGTACCACTGGGAGAGGAGGAAAGATGAGACAAAACACACGGACACTCCCAGACACATGGCAGACTGCGTGTGCACCCAGGAGCCTCAGGGGCGGGGACCACTCATGCATTGATGGCTTAGCGGGCCCTGCAGAGTGGGTCACACTGGGGTATTTTCTCCCCTATGCTGCAAACTGCCATTGACTAGCTATGGTTTGACCTAGGGCCACACTCCCAATGTCTGGCCAGCTTTTCAAAACAAAGCTTTGCAGGGAGTTGGACACTGGGCATCCCAACTCCACAGAAGGTGACCCTAAATAAGAATGAAGCAGAGGGAGGTAAAATCTGCTCTACCTACAGCTTCACAGATAAGTCTGCCTTGCCATTCATCTGAATTCACTCCTAGGGTTTCTCTGTTCCTCCTCTCCTTCCCTCAAATGGCTCTTAGTAAAAGAACTGAGATTAAAGAAAAGTTCTGGAGCAGTAAACAGGAGGCTAAAAATGATCCCCTTCCTCAGATAAATGGCTCCAACTCTTTATTTGCTTTCTTAAACCTTTTTTTTTCTAAATGTTTATTTTTGAAGGAGAGAAAGACAGTGTGAGCACAGAGAGAGGGAGACACAGAGTCCAAAGCAGGCTCTAAGCTCTGAGTTGTCAGCACAGACGCCTGACGCAGGGCTCAAACCCCTGAGCTGTGAGATCATGAGCTGGGCCGAAGTCAGATGCTTAACTGGCTGAGCCACCTAGGCACCCCTCTTTGTTAGCTCTCTTAAGCGCTAATTGGAGTGTGGCTCAACCTATCTGAGCTGCACAGGTACTCACTTTGCTCTAGTCTCTACCTGGTCTACCCTCAATGGTGGTTAAAGAGCCCAGGCTTTGGAATCTAGAAAGAGCTGGGTCTGAATCCTGACACTACCACGTTCTAGCTGTGTGACCTCTGGCAAGTTGCTCAGGCTCTTGGAGCTTTCATTTCTTCCTGTATAAAACAGACTCACTAATACCCACTTCAGAGGGTGTTCTACAAGTGGTCAGTAAATATAGCCATGACTTTTACCATTTATGTAGAAGGTAAGTAAGAAGGGCAGGTAACAAGAAACCTATACTTCTGTGGTTAATTTCCAAAACAAAGCCATTTCACCAGACTCTTCGTAACTATCAGTAGAATGGAAAGGCTCAGGTTTTATGCTACAGAGTCATAGTATTTAGAACTGGAAAGAACCTTAGGTATTATCTAGCCCAACTCCCTCCTTTCACAGAGGAGGAAGTTGATCCAGAGAGATCATGACTTGCCTAAAGTCACAGAGCAAGTTCATGGCAGAGCCAAGGCAAGACCCAGGACTCCTGATTCCAGTTCTACAACATCATTGTCCTAGGGCCATTTCTTGATGAAGGTGTGACCTGGTAGGAAAAGAAAAAAAGCAAACATAGCAGGAGGAAGAGAATCAAAAATACTCAGCTAATCCACAAACAGAATAACGAATCCCACATCAGTTAGTCTTGATTGGATCGTCAAAGTCAGGTGAGCAATGGCAAATGTGGGAAATGTGAGTGAGCCCTGTTTAGTCATTTAGGTTCCCTTGTTAAAGGGATTTTCCCCTTTAATAGATGGGCTATACTCATAGCCCCGTTCCCCAAATGCTTCCTCTGTGCTGGGGATTGTTGCATTTAACATGCATTATCTAATTTAATCCTGAAAACAACTTGCAAGGTAGGCAATAATTTCACAGAAGGGAAACCTGAGGTTAACTCTGATGGTCACACAGCTAGTAAGTGGCAGATATGGGACTCCAACAGTTTTTCTGATTATAAAGCCTGAGCTCTTATAATGCCTCATGGTGCATTCAAAATTAATTTCCACCCAGTCCAAATTAACACTGAGCTTTTTTAACCTTATAAACGTTGGTGTCTTTAACTTCTCAATAAAACAATGAAATGGATACTCAGTAATAACAATTCCTTACAGTGGCACATCTAAATATTTGGTTCTAGGTCAATCGTTTCACGTATCACTATCAGCCATGTTGTTGCCAGTGGCTAAAGTCTTTAAAAGATAAAGACAAAGAACACCCTCAGTTGGAGGTGGGGATTAACCCAGGATTTCCAGCCTAAAGCCGTCACACAACCCTCCTCCTTTTTAATGATTCCCCATTCTGTCTTCTTTAATGGGCAAACAGGACAGATTTTTTTTTGTTCTAGTGGAGAGAACCCTCTTTATCACATAAATGTGAGCAGTGATTATTTCTTCTTTCATGAGGAAAATCCTCACTGCATTCTTTTTTTCTTTCTCTCCTTTTTTTTTCTTGGTTTCCTTTTTCTTCTTCTTTTTTTTTTTCAACCAAAAGTTGGAAACTTTCACTGAGGTGCAAAACATTTATGCCAATAGAAATCATGAACCCTGACGCCTCGCAAAACGGAGGCCATGCATTCTGACTGACACAATTCTTAGTTTATTATTAGATTAACTAAAGGGACTGGTGTAAATCCCTTGAACAGTGCGGGAAGAAGAGGCTCCAATGGCTAATCTCACTGCCATATGCTGTGGCACTTTGAAAACTGGGTAGGAGGACTGGAGCTTAGAATGTTTTTATGGCTAAAAATATAACAACCACCCAACTGCAGGATGAGTCATGCTATAGAGCACTCAACCTCACATTCTTCAGAAATTACCAAGCACGATGTTTTCTGCCAGTGCCCCATCTCCAAAAATGTCCACAAAATAAATTCTTGTCTCTTCTTTTGAAAAATATTAGGACTGGTTCACGAGGCTCTCACCACATGAATGTTGTATGTAAAACATCACCTCATCAAGGTGAATGGATAGACTGCTCATTTGTACTCTGTTGCAAACAAGAGTACTGCTAACAGTCCTGCAGACATGCTAGGCATAATTTACCCACTTTGCCTCATCTGTCGTCTAGATACTTGGAGAGTTAGGAGTGGATAGGGGAGGGGTAGGATGGAGACCACCCGGCAGTGGCTGGGAGTGAGGGGTTGCAGGGAGTGCTAGGGGTCTTCTCTCTATCCACAGGAGCTCCTGTTTCTTTTCTGCCTGGTTGATCGCCTTGAACCAAGCCTTTCCCCAATCAACACTCCCTGAATATGAAAAAGAGGAAGAAGATTACTTACAATCTGTTGCCATGCCAACATAGATGCATTTTTTAAAGCGACATTCCTGGCACTGATTTCGCGTAACTTTGTCTATGACACATTTTCCTTCATATTTACAGGAATAGGATGGATGGAGATTTTTCTGAATGGTTCTTCTAAAGAAACCCTACATGAAAAAGAAAGACCCAAGACAACAGTTTCGTATTTTCTAGAAATAAAAGACTCCATGATTTTGTGTCCATATAACTGTGATGGATTGTTTTTGACCTATCCTGTGTATGAGCTTGTATCTTTACCCATTCACATATAGGACAGTTAGCCCAAACTAAATCTAAAGAATTCTAAATCTGAGCTGAACGAAATGTCTGGGACCAGAGTCAACACGTTTTTGGCATTTAGTAAGGAAAAGAGGCTAGTGGGGAAATCTAGTGTTCATTTTTATTTTTTCTAAACATTGCGTAATAAAAATAACTTATATTATTTCATTTCATAGAGCGTCATAATTCTGTTGTTAAATTAAGCTATGAAGAACCTTGCTATACCTTGTGCTGGAGAATAAAAGAGCTGGATACTTCTTATGCTCTATTAATTAATAATTTAATCATCTAGTGTTTAAATGGATGCATTAAATGACCTTTAGAGATTTAGTTTAATTCTTGTTTTTGACTCTTGCAATGTCCATTACCAGCTCAGATAACCCTTGAAACAACAGTACATGGGGAATAGAAAATTCCAGATTCTCTACCCAAATTTTCTCCGAACTTACTACATTGGGGTTTTTCCTTTCATAGCACTATTTTTCTCCAGTATCAGACATACACCCTGAAGGCCAATAGGTGTCTTCCTTTCTTGAGATATGGGAGAGTGCCACCGTAAAGGCTACCAGATGTGCCATTTAGTCCAGGTTTAGGTGACATAAATATCCTCAAGACATGTTACAGTAGGACCTTCCTGGACAACTGATACTCCAGGCTTGGCAATGGAGCTTCTGTATTGTAGGCGTTAATCATGTCAGAGGACACTTATTGTGAGGGGAGTATTGCAAAGGGCCATAGACACCTTCCACATCTTCTGTCTCTTCTAGAACCTTATGAAATAGGTACTCTTAAAATCTCCAAGGTAGGGAATAAAAAACTAAGTCTATAATAGGTTAAATCACTTGCCCCAAATCATACAGTAAGTACATAGTGGAAGGCGGCTTAGAGCTCAGGAGTCGGACTCGAAGTCTTACTTACTTAACTGCTTATATGATATAAACTGAACTCAATTTTGCTGTATTATTTAAATATTGTAGATGAATGGATTACAAATAGTACACCCCTTGCCTTTGTTTTATCTGTTTTTGTAGACTAGCAAAGCAAAAACAAAGTTTGAAGGATATTATCCACTAAAGCTTAAAGGGACCTCTAACCTTCTTACATAAATAGTGGGCCTGAAATATCAGCTGACCTAGATCAAGCCCAAATTTGAACTATCCTGGTTAATTTTCCTTAGCTTTGATTATGTACACATACCACCTGCATATTCATTACTCAGACATAAGAACCCTTCCTTGTAGTGAAAAAAGGTCAGAGGTAGGATTTTGTATCAGGCAGAACAGAATCTAATGGAAAAATGACAATAAAAAACTAATGGGCTTGATTTTGGGGCATGTGTGCAAAATCCCTTATCATTTCTATTGCTCAAGTTTCAACAGGTAAACTGTCATGTCTTTGGGTTTTGTATCCTTAAACACTTAAATCCATTAGTTTGAATGATGTTGATACACTGTTATATAAGATTCCCTCAATCACACGTGGGCAGCTGTTCGACACGTCGGCAATGTCTCCCCGGGTCTTCAAGGTGGGCAGTTTCTGCAAAAGTTGCCGGGGCAAGTACAGACCTGAAAAGCCAGCTCCCCTGTAACCCTCCCTATTCCACCTCTGCTACCCTCTGTCCAATCCACCCTTTGAGGGTTACACCTGCTTGGAGGGCGAAAGAGACCTTAAGATTCCTGGCAAGAAGACATGTGTCACAGACAGGGAGGAGAGGGGCTGGGTGGCATGCTTCCTTCTAGAGGGGGCAAGGTCTCCCCAGAGGTGGTAGCACCGAAGTCCAGGGCATCCGGGGAGAATGGTGCCCTGGAGATAGGGCAGTTGGTACTCTGAAGCTGGAGAGACCCCTTTCTCATACACTCTGACGTCTCATGTTTTATTTTTATTATTATTTAAAAATTTTTTTGAATGTTTTTATTTATTTCTGAGAGAGAGAGAGAGAGAGAGAGAGAGAGACAGTGTGAGCAGGGGAGGGTCAGAGAGAGAGGGAGACACAGAATCTGAAGCAGGCTCCAGGCTCTGAGCTGTGCACAGAGCCTGACGCGGGGCTCGATCACACGAACTGTGAGATCATGACCTGAACTGAAGTCAGATGCTTAACTGACTGAGCCACACAGGCACCCCTGACATCTCATGTTTTAGTGGGAGAGGAGCATACTGAGGATCAGACAGCGCTGAGGAGAGGAAGAGATGTGGTGTCCCAGACACAGAGGTGACATTCATTTTTCCAAAAAAGGCTACTCTGTGAACTTTTAAATGGAGTGAATGAAATAATTTATACTTTGCTTATTTTGGGAAAAGTGTTGAGGTAGCAAGCTCTGCTATTCCTAGTGCCATCTCTTCTGTGGCTTATCTCTGATGGCTTTTCTTCATGGACCAGATCCCTTTTAAGATGCTGGCCTCCCCTAAGCTATACTAAGAGCATATTTGACACAGGATGAAGGGCCACTTCACTTGAGTAAATGTAAAGGTGCTAGGTCCCTTAATTTTAAAAAGTGACAGAAAGTAACTTCTGGAAGTGAACTGAATGGAGAATATTTAATGTAGTCTACCTGCAAAAAAGAAAAATCTTTTTAGAGGTGAACTGACAAATGACATGTCCCAGGGACTAAAGAAGGACATAGATGTCATTGATGATTTGCTGGTGAGATGAGGTTTTGCTTTTATAAATCAACATCAGACGTGTTTCTCTGCATTTCTAGGAGAACTAGATCCAGATGATGCACTAATTAGTGTGATAAGAAGCTAAGTGTCATTCTTCTCCCCCTTGTTCCTCCATCAAGTTCCTCCTAATCCTCCTATACGTGCAAAAAATGATATTTGTCCTTCTCTGCCTGACTTATTTCGCTCAGCATAACACCCTCAAGGTCCATCCATGTTGCTACACATGGCCAGATTTCATTGTTTCTCATTGCCATGGAGTATTCCATCGTACAGATAAACCACATCTTCTTGATCCATTCATCTGTTGATGGACACTTAGGCTCTTTCGAAATGGTGGGGGAAAGGGAGAGAGGCAAACCATGAGAGACTCTTGAATGCTGACAAAAACTGAGGACTGATGGAGGGGGGGGAGGGGGGGGATGGGCATGGAGGAGGGCACTTGTGGGGATGAGCACTGAGTGTTATGTGGAAACTAATTTGACAATAAACTATTTGTAAAAAAAAAAAAAAATTAAAAAAATTTGTTTAAAACAAAAAAAACCAAAAAAATAAAAAAAATAAAAAAAAAGAAGCTAAGTGTCATTCTGCTGGTTCAATATTTGGGCAGCTTCTAATAGCTCTGAATCTTTTTCAGAAAAATAATTTGTTCTGGGGAAGTATCAACATTCCTTCTGTAAAAGATTCATAAAAACTGGTTCATCAAGACAGACAAAACAGCTCCAGGGGGAAGCTTCAGGGGGAAAATGGGCAAACAAACAAACGAAGAAAGGTCCTCTCCCTACACACTGCGAATATGTGGTAGAAATATTTTTAAATTGTAGGTTTTAATAAACAATATGTGAAGCATAACCTTTTTCATCTTAAAAACTCTTAAAAACCTGTGTTTCATTTGAAAAACTGTTGCCTTTTTCCAAGACATTCTGTCCTTACGTTAAATGCATGATCTGTGTAATCACCCTAGGAAAGCTGCCTTCTGGTTTTATGATGGAGGCCATTCTAGAAATAGGATTCTGATCTGAGATAAAGGCACAGAGGCTGAAAAATCTAGCTTTCTGCTACCTGATTTCTTCTAAGGAAACCTCAATTCAGTCAGGCCCCAAACATCCTGTGATCTTGGGAAAAGAGGCTAGTGGATTTCTTGATCATCATGAAGACACACATGAAACAGGGACCCAGGTTAATCGGCTCGATTCTCCCTTCATTTAAGTCAGTCACTAACAAGCATTAAGTTCTCTCTGCAAGGCACATGTAGAGTCACTTTGGGAGTTGGGTATTAAATGGAATTTTCATTAGAGTCTCTTCCAGAATTCAGAATTTACCATTAGTAACTGATCTGAAAGAGTCTCAGTGCTGCATAATCAGGTAGGCAAATCTTTATGAATTGGGGCTAATTTAGAAAAAAGTCCTGTTTGGATTACTGAGCTTTCAGAATGAGAGAATATATCTAGAGTAATGCAGTTTTATTACTTTCAAATCAAGCCAATAAAAGTGTGCTTTCAAGAGACAGTCTGCAAGTCCCCCAAATTAAAATAGTCAAGACTTACTTGTAATCAGTTCCATTAAACCCCTTAAGACATTATTTTCATTGATGTAATAGCAAACTTTAGCATCGTCTATGTTAAAAGGTACACATTCCAGATCAAAGGGGTCTGGATGAATGAGAGCACACTACATCACATTACAAAAAACAGCCTTGCAGATATAAGGCCTTGGGAACTTAGGAATGCCTGATTCCAATGGATTATAATTTCACTCCTTTTAGCAGGCTTCTGCTAAGGGCTTCCTAATTTTATGGATAAAAAATAGGGGATTTGCATGGAAAATCTTCCAGTAGGGAAATGGGGCACTTTACCTTGAAACCAAGGGGGTTTTTGGGTCAAAGGGTTTGGGTTTTGGGGGTTTTAGGTCAAAGGTTAGCAGGAAAGGGCAGATAGTTGGGGGAAGGGAAGAGAGGAGGGGAGGTATGCAACATAGGAGGGAAGACTGAACTGTTTTATACAGTTTAATACAATCTTTGCTTTAGGGCTTACATCCTGTCATCATTTAGTTTTAAATATAAAAAGTAAATAAAACATTCTGCAAGAAAAAATTTAAGAAGTCTTTCCCTGACTTAATATACTTTCTAATTTATAAAACATTAGCTGAATGTTGGGTGTAGCACTGGGTTAAACTTTATTTATTTTTATAGTGGACTTTATTTTTGAGGCTAGGTTGTTGGACCAAAAGATATTTGCCAGAAAGCTCATCTTCATTTTGATGATGAGGAGTGCAAGTAGGCAAATTTAGGCTCACTTTTGGGAAGTGAACTGTTGATCACTGGTGTATTCTTGTCTAGTATCTCCTGAAGATGGGTCTGTAGAGCATAAAATTAGCTAATGGATGCCCAGAATTTACTTACTGGCAGAAGGCTGTGCAGAAAGCCAATCTGGGTAATTTCGGAACACAATTGAATCTAAGTAGCCTCAAAGCTATTCCTTAATGGAACCCTTAAAAGTGAACGTATTTACTCAGATTAACAGTCTGTGGTAGAGTGAATCTTGTCTCTTCAACCTCTGATGTCAAAACAGGAGAAATGGTTATTTCTTGGGAAAATATATTATAAAATACCTATGCATTTTTAAACTCAAAGTGAGAATATTATTAATTTCTTTTAATCTGTAAAATTTATTTTATTTTTTTATTTTTTAAATGTTTTATTTATTTCTGAGAGAGAGGGAGAGACACTGTGAGCAGGGGAGGATCAAAGAAAGAGGGAGATACAGAATCTGAAACAGGCTTCAGGCTCTGAGCTGTCAGCACAGAGCCCAATGCGGGGCTCAAACCCATGAACCGTGAGATCATGACCTGAGCCGAAGTCAGACGCTCAGCCGACTGAGCCACCCAGGCGCCCCTAAAAATTTTTTTTAAATGCTTATTTTCTTTTGAGAGACAAAGCACAGGCAGGGGAGGGGCAGAGAGAGAGGGAGACACAGAATCCAAAGCAGGCTCCAGGCTCTGAGCTGTCAGCACAGAGCCCCATCACGGGGCTCAAACCCACGGACTGGGAGATCATGACCTCAGCTGAAGTCAGCCGCTTAACTGACTGAGCCACCCAGGCGCCCCTAATTTCTTTTCATCTTATGACCTCTCTCCCTGTCTTAAGAGCCAGACATTGTACTCTTGCAAAACTTCATGTAGTTATATTTGATTTGAAAAGTAAATAAATTCAGTTCTTGAACGTGTCAAAAAATGAGGAGGACAACCAGCCACTTGTGTGGTAACAGGCCGTGAATGTTGGAATTTGGTTCTAATTTGAACTTTCACTTCTCGGTGCTTTCTGGTGGAATCGTGGGAGGGGGCCGGAGCCGGGCTGAGCGCTGAGCTCGCTGGTCCCAGGGCCGTTACCTTGCAGCCTTCACACGTGATGCAACGGTAGTGATACCCCGTGGCCTTGTCGCCACACACCACACATAGCTCGTCCTTGTCTAAGTAACTGGGGATGTAGCCTGTGAAGAAGGAAAAAAGAGGAATGTGAGAAACCAATACCATGTGAAAGTCAAAGACACAGCCTAGCTTGGAAGAGAATAAAAAGAGGGTGGGAGGTAAGGCGCGTGAGGGAGGAGGCGGGATCAAACGGTTTTATACATTTTCATACAACTTTTGCATCAGGGTTTACATCTTGTGATCATTTAGTTTTAAATATAAAAGGCAAATACAACATTTTTTTTTTCTTACAAATAGTTTATTGTCAGGTTGGTTTCCACATAACACCCAGTGCTCATCCCCAAAGTGCCCTCCTCCATGCCCCTTCCCCCTCCCCCCCACATCCATCAGTCCTCAGTTATTGTCAGCATTCAAGAGTCTCTCATGGTTTGCCTCTCTCCCTTTCCCCCACCATTTCCGCCCTTCTTCTCCCCCTTGTTCCTCCGTCAAGTTCCTCCTAGTCCTCCTATACGTGCAAACATATGATATTTGTCCTTCTCTGCCTGACTTATTTCGCTCAGCAGAACACCCTCAAGGTCCATCCATGTTGCTACACATGGCCAGATTTCATTCTTTCTCACTGCCATGTAGTATTCCATGGTATAGATAAACCACATCTTCTGGATCCATTCGCGGGTTGATGGACACTTAGGCTCTTTCCGTGTTTTAGCTGGCAAATACAACATTTAATGGGAAAAAATTTAAAGTATTTCCCAGATATAGTATTTATAGTATTTATTTATAAACTATTTCCCTGATAAGATACTTCCTCAGTATCTTATATTTATCCACTATCTTATCTCACACTTACAGAGTTGCTGCTGGGCCCAGGGTTTCAAGAATGCCTTAGAAATAGGTGTGACCACTCTTGCTGGGCAGACGGGAATATATCTGAAGGCTCTTGGAGCCCTTATATCATGCAGAGGAGCCAATACTTGAGATATCTAGAGTATTTTGGGTTCTGGAGAATACAATCTCTTTTGTAAGGCTTATTTCAGAACTTTGTCTTAGAAGAACTGGATTGACTTTGAAATCAAGGTACCATGCAATAAACTCAGAGAACTTTACAGCTTGGAGATCATCAGGTACTTTTGAGATGAACAGACTTTCAGAGGTTTGCTTGGCCTTCCTAGAAATTAAGGCAGAGATCTTCTAACCAGATCTCCTAATGTCCAGTGTAAGTAATGATGATCTTTTTCTAAAAATAGACAGTTAAGTAGAATGAACAAGTCATCTAAAATTTTTTGTGTGTGGTAAACTTAAGACATTATGACGTAAAACCCAACAACACTGGGTAGTGTGAAATAATAGAGGCTCTATTTATTAAGAAAAAAAAAAAAGAAAATCCAACTGTGACAACTCTCTTTGTTAGTGTACTATTGGTTTATTAGTTTAAGACCCAGGAAACTAAAGTTTTAAAACAAAAACAAGCAGCCCACCTCCCACTGGTCTTTGCCTCCTCCTCTTCACTTGTGGATGATGTCCAACCACACGAAACAGTTTCTGAAGGGCAAATTCAGTGTTCTATGGTGTCAGTGGTTTACCATACATGCACACAGCTTTAGATAAGGGCAAAAAATCAAAATAAGGTCTGCTTTGTTGGGATGTGGAGAAGGGAGAGGCTGAGATAACATAATAATTCCTTCCTCTGATCATGGCCCCTTGTGAAGTTCTTTGACTTGGCAAACTCTTATTGGTTTCAATAAAGATTGGCCAGGTTGACATGACAGGTGACTTACTCTATGTTTCGCCATGACACTTCATAGATTCTTTATTAAACTAGGTCACAGAGGGCTTACTCTTCAGAAAAAGAAATCCACAAAGAAAACAGAAGAAAATGAGTCCTTTTCACAATTTTGTAGAAATTACTTTGCTCAGACTTTATTTTAGAAAGATGGCCCCTCTTGGGAAGGAGACAAATGACTTCAGAGTAAGGTCTGGTAATGTACAGGATTATCTTCTTAAATATCACAGCTTTTCTTAGTTTACTTTTACATCATGCAAACCATGAGTCATCTGTTGAATTCACTTCAAGAGTTTGAAAACTCTCATCAGATTTCTAAAAAGAGAATTCTGGGAGGGATCTGGGCAGAAATAAAGGGGGCTGGAATGATTGGTGTTTTTATTCAATCATTCATCTATTCACTGATTCAGAAAACAGTTATTTACCATCTCCTAGGTGCTTAGCACAATGCTTGGTGCTGAGAATATAAAAAACAGATAAGACATTATTTCTTCCCTTGGTAAGCATTATGCTAGAGACTGATTTGTGTCTTTCTAGTCCTGGTCATTCCTCAATGATAAAAGAAAAGGTGAAAATGAAGGAAAGAACATGAAAGGTGCTGAACATCACTGTGTGAGAATGCAGAGCCCAAACCACAATGAGACACCATTTAACATCCTTGAGGATGGTTATAATAAAAATGACAGACAATAACAAGTGTTGGTGGGGATATGGAGAAATGTGGACCCTTATATACTACTGGTAGCAATGTGAAATGTGCTTTACAAATGAGTTTGGCAGTTCCTGAAAAGGTTAAACATAACGTTACATATGACACAGCAATTCCACTCCTGCATATATACCCAAGAGAGCTGGTAATAAGTGTCCACACACGAACCTATTTATGAATGTTCAAAGCAGCGTTATTTAAAATATCCAAAGGATGGAAACAACTCAAATGTCCACCAAATGATGAGTGAATAAACCAAAGGTAGTATATTTATAAAATGGAATATTATTCAGCTGGAAGAAGAGCTGTAGTACTGATACAACATGGAGGAACCTTGAACACATTATGCTATAGGAAAGAAGCCAGACATGAAAGGCCACATATTGTATGATTTCATTTATATGAAATGTCTCAAACAGGCTAGTCATAGAGAAAGAAATTAAGTTGGCGGATAACAAAGCCTGGAGGGAGAATGCAGAGTTACCTGCTAATGGGTACAGAGTTTCTTTTTAGCGTGATGAAAATGTTCTGGAATTGTATAGTGTTGATGGTTCCACAATCAACTGAATATACTAAAAACCACTAAAAACAATGGCTTTCCATGGATATGTTTTGTACACTTTAAATGTGTGAATTTTATGGTATGTGAAATATGTTTCAATAAAGCTGTTATTAAAAAAACAAAGAAATGAAATAAAAAAGAATGGTTCCATTTGACAAATATTTATGTGGGTATACTATGTGTCAGGCAATGTGCTAAGGATCTAAAGATAGTGCTAAATGTGCTAAATTTTAATTCTTGGGGAAGCTTTCAGTGTAGTGGGGAAAAAGACAATAACAGATCATCTGCATATAATGTGGTAGGCATTGGGATAGGTGTATGTCCAGAATCACAAAGGGGAAACTCTTTGAGGAGCCTTCCTGCCTACCCCAGCTCAAGTCAAACTGGGTGCTCCCATACCTCCTTGTGCTTCTCCAATAGTAGTCCTTTATACTCTACATTATAACTACCTTGAGTTTTTTCTTTCCTTTGACCATAATCTCTGATTCACTATAGGTTTGTACAGTTCCAGCTAGAGGGCAGGGATTGGAACATTCATGTGGAAACCCCAGTGTCTAGCACCTGCTTCCTCTGACAGATAGCATCATGGCTTGAAGATCTCTGCCACTGGCCAATCGTAGAGAACGTAAAGGAGGAGAGATGCATCTGGAGCCTGCAGATGAGCAGACTTGAAGCCTGGAGGTATGCCCGAGAAAGCTAAAAGGTCTCAGAAAAGATTTCTGAAAGAGGTGGTAATGCAGATGCATGAGCCCAAATATCAGGCCTAATGAAAAATTCATTAGAAAGTTTGATTTTTGGCAAAGAAAACAAGATTCCACTCAGATTAAAACTAAGACATCCAGATTGATGCAGATCCAAGATTTAGCAATCTGGAGAGATGCATACTCACTAATCAACTAGATTTGGCCCTGTATTATTTGCTCTGATCACTAGGTTCAATATAGTGAGACAGGACTAAAGAGAGCTTAAGAGCAATACCATTTTCCCACAATACAGAAGTGAAAATCACTATGACCAGGCCAATTTAATGAAGATGCCATCACCAATAGTGGAGATTTGCAGTCTGAATTGTATATGATGTGCTCCACTTTCTACTTGGGGCTATATAAACCACTATCCACTAACTCAAAAGTCTTTGCTTTCTGGGTAAGTTTCCCCTTTACACAATCATTAACTCAAGTCCCAACGTTGTATACCACTATCTGCTAGGTAACCGATGGTGCTGTGGCTCAAGTTTAATAATAAATCTAACAGAATTTACAGAAGACTCACCAGGCATTGATTTTTTGAGTTTTGAGTAGTCCCTCCATAGAAAGAAATAACACAAAATATTCAAACAGGGCTCTGTGCTCATAGAAATAACTAGTTTTCAAATGTGGGAGGGGAAGGGTCATAGGGAAAATGGTCAGAGATGCTCGATTTAACTAACACCAATGGAATTCAGTGGTTACTCTTTAGGAATCAAAAGCAATATGTGTGTTATCTTCTTACAAATTTTCTTTTTACATAAAAATTATATAAATAATAGAGTTCATGCTAGAAAAAGGAAAAGACATAAAAGAACAAAAAGCAAATTTACCTATCAACTCTCTACCATAGCGGTAAGTACTGTAGCATTTTGATATTTCTTCATCTTGGACTAGTATGTATGACAGTGTGTGACATGTGCTTGTGTATGCACTGAAACACAGACTTATAAAACACAAATTAATTTTTAAGCAACAAAGTAACCCAATTATTAAAACACACAGCGTCCTGACAAAGGTGGATGAAATACATATATTCACATAAGGAAAGTTATCTCCTGTTCTCTTATATGCAGAGGTTATATATAGTTGATCAGAATGAAGACTTTGCAGTTCTTCATATCAGGTGCACATGGCAGAGATAAAGGAGAAAGATATATAGGCCACTTGCTTCTCATGTTCAGGAACCAATTGTAATACAGATGGACACTGTGTTGCTTGTGGGACATGCCTTGGTGGGGGCAGGGAATACTGACCAGAGT